AAAATAAAAATACTTTAGTTATCACTATGTAAACTTTTAATTCTTACTAAATACTATAAATTATGCTTATATGTAAATTTGTAGCTTATATTTAGAGCTATAATTCAGTATATGATTATTATCATTAATAATAATTATTCAGAGAGTTATATAGCATTTACGATCAAATTTAAACGTAAAAATAAAAACACTTTAGTTATCACTATATAAACTTTTAATTCTTACTAAATACTATAAATTATAAAGTTATAACTTATATTTAAAGCTACAAATTGATATATGATACTATATGCTGATCTTTAATCGAACTTGAACCAGACTCGAACTCGTATAATGGTTCAGTTCGAGTTCAGTTCGAACTTCGAACTTTTCTTGAACTCAAGTCAAAGTCTGGTTCGAGTTCAGTTCGAATTTCAAACCGAACTCAAACTCAGGCAAAAGTCCAGTTCAGTTCAGTTCATAGGAATACTACATCACAGACATCATAATGTTTAATTCATTCAAAAATTAATGTTGATTAATATTATTTGTATTCTCCTTTGTGATAATTTTCAAAATGCTGCTTGATGGTGCTGATATTAGTTTTCTTGTCATAATAATTCCTGTGGAGATTACAGTAAACATACTTTTATTTGATGACTATTTGAAGTAGTTCCAAAAAGGATGGCAAATTTTTTATCATTTAGAATTGGATCCTTGAATTTCAGCATTTGTTTCACTTTGTAAGAGTTCAATGGATGAAATTTCATTTTTAAAATCTTCAATCATAAAAGAACTGTCATTTGAAAGACTATTTTGCACATCGATGCTTTCTTAATTATCGTTTGGATGGCTACCTTGGTCATTACTATCTTAATTATTGCTATCTTGATCATTACTATCTTGATCATTGCTGACTTGATTATTGCTGTCTTGATTATTGCTGTCTTGATTGTTGCTGTATTGGTTATTGCTATTTCTTGAAGAATATTATTATTTAGGAGGAGACTTTGCTCATTGCTGCTTTTTTGAAAGTTGCCATTTAGAAGGCTGCTTTGCTTGTTACTGTATTCTTGAATATTATTTATTGTCAAGGACAAAAAATTGCTTTCTTGAAAATTATTATCGAGGGAAAGAAAATTATTTTCTTGAAGAAAATTATCACTATCTAAAAAACTGCTTTGGTTACTTGAAAGACTATTTGTTTGAAAAGAAAGAATATTGTAGATATACTCAAGATTAACGTGAAAAATAGATATAGTTATATAGCAAAAAGGTTCTTATTATAAGATGAGAATTATTATTATTAAGAAATACATATAAGTAATGGGCTTGAAATAAAACAGTGATCAAAAGTAATGTGTTTTATAGTTTTATAGCGTGGGAGCAAAGTAACAAGTTTAGTATGAGAGATTAATTGTAGATAATGAACTGCACAAAATAGAAATACATGAAGTGCATATTATTTAACAAAATATTCCTTTTTCATTAAGGATAATTAGCCAAATTTAGATAACAAACTAATTTGTAAGAAGTGAACATCAGAAAATTTTTATATCTGATTATAATCGATTATTATCCAATAATCAATTATCATCGATTGTTAATAATCGATTATAATCGATTGCAATCAGATA